CCGAAACGCGTAGATCTACTTTTAACTAGTTGTAATGATTTAAGCCCAGTTCATTAAAGGCTTTTTATCTTACCATGTGAGTGCCTTGGAAATATTTCGTCTACATAATTTGATGTTTACCTCCATCACATCCAATGAGCACCAGTGGCTATGTAAAGACACCCGTGTAGCACTCTCTGCTTCTGTTTTCGTACGATTTTAAATATGTAATATGATTTTTAAAAATGTAATGCTAAAAGAAAGTTACTATTTAAAAAATATTTACGGTACAAACTGTATAATATCTACACCATTTCTAGGCCACTTATGTAAGAAAACCAGACTGTCAGATGTTCTTTGGATCATCTTAAATCATGCTGAAGAACATGATCATCAGGTTTAGTTCATATAACACAAGTGCTGCTTTATTAAATCAAAAAACACACCAAATACTGACGCATTCCTTTTTCAGTCAAATAGTCATGCTAATTTGATCATTTCTAATGCAAAATGATGTAGAAAGGAATGCAGAGCAGATGCATTTTCACTAGCGCTCTCAGACGTTTGGTCTGTGAATGAAGACACAACATGAATAAAACAAAAGTGTGTTTTTATTCAAAAGTTCTCAAAGAAACGAACAGAAATAAAGCTTAACTAACAATCTACTGGAAACAAAGGGGAAAAGGGAGAAAACAGCTTTTTTTTGGCTTAAACACTCAGAAAATAAAAAGAAACAAATACAGAGGAAGGTTTCTGATAAACCGAATGTACAAGATACCACTGGCAAGTGCGTGACATGTAAAACAGAGAAAGAAATTACTAAATCAACTCTCATATAGTCATCTCTATCAAAATCTTTTTATTGTTTTTATTTTTTCAAACAGTCTGTACAAAACGTCTCTCTTCATAAATTATTACTTTTCATATAACTTAATGGCTGTCTAGTACATGATTTTTCATATTCATGAGCAATTTCTCTCTGCACAACAAGTCTTTCCAACTCTTTGACCCAGACACAGATTGGCACTTCGGATTCGGATGTTACTAGCAGCATGAGCCACACAAGAACTCCACAGAAACACACACACACACACACACACACACACACACACACACACACGTCAAGAATGGACTCAGCTGTGAGCTGAGCACCGTGGATAACGCCGCTAAAAGTCTGTCTGGACTCAGTCTGAAAGCAAATGTATGGAAGCTTGTTTCTGACACGGGATAAAAAAATATCAAAAAGGAAATTGCGAATTTTTCTCTCACAATTCTGACTTTTTTTTTTTTGCAGTTATGAGTTTATATCTAACAATTCAGACTTTTTTTTCTCGCAATGGCAAATTTGTATATTTTTTTCTCAAAATTGTGAGTTTATATCGTGCAATTACAAGTTATAAACTTGTTTACAAAGTTTACATTTCACAGTTCTTGACTAATTCTGAGAAAAAAGCCAGAATTATGTAATGTTAACTCGCAATTGCAAAATATAAACTCACAATTCTGAGAAGAAAACTCTGAATTGTGAGATAAAAAGTTTTTTTTACATTTTTTTTATTCCATGATGGAAACAAATTACAACTCACAATTCTGGGGGAAAAAAACAAATGCAAGATATAAACTTGCAACTCTTAGAAAAAAAAAGTCAAAATTGTGAGATAAAAAGTTGCAATAGCCTTATTTATTCTTTATTCTGTGGTGGGGAAAAAAAAGAAAACTCTGAATTCAGAGAAAAATAGTCAAAATTGTGAAGTGTAAACTCAGAAAAGCCAGAATTACAAGAATTAAACTTGCAATTATGAGAAAAAAATGTCAGAATTGTGAGATAAAAACTCAAAATTCAAAGAAAAAAGTCAGAACTGCGAAATGTAAACTTGCAATTACAAATTTGCAATTGCAAGATATAAACACTATTCTGAGAAAAAAATCTGAACTGTGAGATATAAATTTGAAATTGCAAGAAAAAAGTAAAAAGAGATAAAAAGTTGCAATTACCTCTTTTATTTTTTATTCTGTGATGGAAATGAAAACAGAATTGCAAGATGTAAACTGAGAATTCAGAGGAAAAAAAGTTGCGTTTGTGAGAAAAAAAGTCGCAGTTACCTTTTTTTTTAATATTCTGTGGCAGAAACGAGCTTCCATACAACAGTGATGTCTCGGGAAAACCGCAACTTTCAGCATCGCTGTTTCTCATTGGCTCGGTCTCTCACGCGCGCACTTTCTTGTCTACTTCCTATGGACTACTGGAATATCTTGTGATGAAAAGCAGCAGTTTTTTTTGCTTTCGAAACGATGAATCTGAATGCTAAACAACACTAAAACGACACATTCAACGCACAACTTTCCTTATAACGATAGAAATAATAAAAGAAAACTTTTCTGTTTGAAGAAGAAGAAGAGGATTAAAGTATTTAAAAACAAAAAAACCTGAAAGAAATCAAGTGTAAGTGGGCAGCTCCAGAGCTGGCCGTTTGGTCTGGAGGGGCGGGCTGAACCTGCTGCCCGACCAATCAAAACAGAAGACAACAAAACTCTGAGGTAGATAACCGGTCAACAAGACCCACCAGGTCAAAAACACAGTCTTTTGGAAGACAAATTAATGAATAAAGCCTTAATAAACTATATTGTGAGTTTAAAAGAGAATAAAAACATTTTCCTGTAATGGATGCGATTATTATTTCAAAGGCTGTGTCCTAAAACCTTGTGAGCTGCCAACTGTATTTTCTGGAAAATCACATTTTTTTATTACCTGAAACATGTTGCAATATATATATATATATAAACAATTTATATGATGCAATTATTAACATCAAGCATGCAAACATGGTTGGTTGGAGTTACATGTCTGATGTTTATAATGAATGCAGCTATAATTTGCTTGCTTTATACTTATATTTTCATTCCTGTTCTAAATAACATTACATTTAAAAGATTTATTGTGGAGCGAGGGGAACTAAAACACATGCTTATAGTGTTTATGTTTGTAAATGTTAATTTTATCTGTAGTTTACACTCTTTCTGAATGTAATCAAATTGCAACTTATGTGTCTTTTTTCTCAATTTTGCCCCGGTGTGACTTACATATACCAAAACAACTTATATAATGCAATTATATAATGCACCTGTATTTTACATTATTTCTGAATGTAATAATAAAACTGCAACTTCTCTGTGTTTGTTTTCTCTCAACAATGCAATTTTGACCCGGTGTGACTTATAGCGACATATTTTTCGCAAAATACGGTACTTAGGCAGTATGATACCTACTTTTGTCACATTCTAAGAAAGTATCACACATATCCTTCACTTAGAAGGCAAATTCATGATGCATTTTGGGTAAAAAAAAACTGTTGAATATAAAGATAATTTATTCAAAACAGAAAAGCAGCTAAAAATAGTTCAATTCTAATGAAAAGCAACTAATATTTTTCTGTGCTTTGTACTGTAATTTTACTGCTAATATTCCAATGGAAAGCTCCATTGAAATCTATTTGCATGATGCATGTGGATCATATAGAATTACTGAACTATGTAGGCAGCTCACGAGGGTTTTGGAACGGAGCCGTCGTTTCAACCTGTCCTCATTCCCTGTTTTAGTTTCAGTTGTCTCCGCTCTGTAGTGATGTTTTCGTTTAGTTTGTGGCACTTGCTGGATCCAAATCGTCCTTCAAATCGGTGTCCGCACCTCACCAACTAAAGACAGCTGAATGCATATGTACAAAGAAGGCACATTCTCCACAACTGCAACCTTGTCTGTTATAAAGTCTCAGCGTGGCCCACCTCAAGAGAATATGACATCCGCACTATCCGCTTGCTGACTGTCTTTGGTGAAGTAAGGTTTTACTCTGAACGATATTCGATCTGACAGGCCACGCCTCCCTCCCGCCCCCTCATTAGAATACAAGACAAAGCTCCTCCCCCTCCCACAGGAGTTCATCTAAAGCTAAACTACAACACCAAGATTTATAAACGAAAAGGCAGTTATCAAAAATGTGATCGTTCAGCAGAATTTCTACCACATTCAAACAACCAAAGGCTCATCGTCACCTCTGATTCTAAAAACATTAAATCCTATTAAAACTCCATCAATGTTATCACTCGAAACGGTTTGTACTCTAAAAGATCGGAAAAAGCTAAACACCGAAATCCAAGCGCGATGTTCCTTTGCGAAATGCTAAAAAAGCCCTATTCAGCTGATTTACAAGGCAGCAGCCGGACGTCTTTTCTTCGACTACTGTACGGGAAAGAGTTTAAGGCAAATCGTATAAGATGGACAGATCGGTCAGACCGAAGACGAAGCACACGACAAAAACACATCAACGACACTCACACCGCAAGCACAAACGCATCTTTCTCAGGATGTCCGGCTGATAAATCTCTAAAAACGAACGTCTGTTTCAGTACAAAAGAAGAGAGAGAAAGAGAGAAAACAAATCTGAAATCATAAAAATAAGAATAATCTCCATGCACGTCGAGTCGCATGATGAAGATCCTGCATCTATGTGACGATCCTTGGTAAAAAATAAGCGTCGTTTCCTTAGTAAAATAAAACTTTTCTTTGTCTTCCCATTTTGTTTTTTCTTTGTTAGCATCCTCTGATGAAATGAATCCTTGATTTGCACCTAATGGAACTTATACCAAAATAGTTGAAGTAGTTTTATTATAAAAACGGAGGAACTCATCGTAGAACCTGTGCAAAATCTTGATTCATCGGTAGAGCGGGTCCTTCAGAGGAAGCTGTTATTGATTTAGCAGTCATCTCCTTCTCTCTCAAACCCCGACAACCCTGCAAGAGAAACAAATGCAACACTTTAAATTAGGGGTGACCCCAAATAGTCGAAGATTCGATGCTTCGATAGGAGGAGCCTGATTCGACTACCAATCTCACAGTCGAATATTCGCGGGGTGTTATGATCATGCCATTTTGGCTATATGGGGGTGCTCAAATGTCTGATTTCACATAGAACTACCGATTTTCTCCCAAAGTTAATATACAGCTTGTTAAAATAATGCTGTAAATAAGAATCTGAAAAGAAAGAAGCTTCAAATAAATATTTTAACGTGTGTGAATAAATCCAACCACCCCTATAGATTTAAGTTTCACTTTCCATAATCCGTGACCGACAGTGGAGCATCTCGGCGGCAGCGATTTAAAACTTTAACAAGCCTCAAATTGACACAGGCAGAGTGAAAGACTAGATTTTTTCGATCAGGTAGGGTACAAGTGATTTCAAAATATTTCAGCTGGTTTATATATATCGTATATATATTATTTATCTCATATAAGATGCATTTGGTTGAGTAGCGCTGCAGTAAAGCGCTTCATTGTAGTACTACTGTGATTATCTCTTCAGCGCGCAGCGCGAGCAGGACATACAACCAGAGCCGATCCTCCCTATATGCAAGCTGCGTAGGGCCACCGAAACACCAGGGGGCCCCCTTGCTCTCAAAGATGATTTAATTTTAGTTTCGTTTTTGAATTTGGCCAGCGGTTAGCTCAAAACAGAAATGCAGAACATTAATAACTATATATATATATATATATATAGAGAGAGAGAGAGAGAGAGAGAGGGATAACATATTTTCCATTATCTTTTGATAATCTTTTGACTAAAGACCAATTTCTCACAAACACCATATTTTAGATCTGAACAGGGTTATTATAATTAACTAAAACTAAAACTATATATATATATAAAAAACATTGTCATTACTTGAAACAAAATAAATGTTAACTGAAATAAAATGAAAAATTAAAAAATTAAACGTATTTTATTTCAGCTAGTTTCCAAGGCAACATTTCTAAATTTAATTTAGTTTAAATCGATGTACTAAAATAATTAAAACTAAAACTTGAAATAAAAATAAAAATGATACAGACATATTCAAAACTAATAAAAATGACAAAAACACACAACAAAATTACTAAAACTTTAAAATCTAACTGAAAATATTAACAAAAACTATAATAGTATACTGATACAAAATAACTGGATTTGAGCATTACAATCAAAAATTAATTTTCAGGCATGGAAATTACAACTTTAAAATTCTTTTTTTTTTTCAGGATCAGTAAAGCAGGAGACACAGAAGCACTCAAACTAATATCGCATCTGTGAAACCTGTTTACACTGCCAGACAAATCATTTCAGAAAGATGTAAACCAATAATGCAGCAACACTTGAAATGACCTCTAAACATTTACATAAGAATCAGGCACAAGGTTCAATCCTCCTGGAACCCAGAAAGTCATTTTGATCTTCTGTAAAGGACATTCGATTGGTGAATTTCTTTGAGAATATACATACAGTCCTGGTGCATCTTAAACAGGACATCCTGAGCTTTGCACACATAACAAATAGATTCGGGTTTGACAAATTCTTCACTTCGTTTTTTTTAAATGGCTGACAATTTCTGAAAATTTAAGATAAGAGGAACAGCAAGTTTATCAGTATCATTGAGACTCTATTATATATTTGTAAAAATGTTTTGAATTACTTGTATTTTCCGTATTCATTTTAATTTTAGTTAAAGTTTAAGTAATTTTGTTGTGTATTTACAGTGTTTATTAATTTTTATTTCAGTTATAGTAATTTTAGTACACCAAGTTAAAATAAATGAAAATAAGAAATACAGAAATAAGTTATTCTAAATTGTACTAGTATTTCACAATATTACTGTTAATGTTTAAAGTATTTTCAGTTTCTCAAACAACAACAAAAATCATTTAGATCTGATTTTCCATTTTCATTTTACTTAAAGTTTTAGTCATTTTGTTTTGTGTTTTTGTTATTTTTTTTGTTGAGTTTTGTTGTTGTTATTTTGTTAAAATAAATATAACAAAACAAACAAAAATAGCTGAAATGTAAAGAGTTTTGTATTTTATTTTAGTTAATGTTTAACTATGTTCGTTTTTTTTCTTTATGGTTTTAGTTTTAGTTAACTCTAATAACCCCAGTCCTTATTGATTTTATTTCATTAATGTTCAAATGGTTTCTTGTAAATAAACATCGTATATGTGTGGATGAACAGATGTGAGTTGTAGTACCTCTTCATCACTTGGCCTGCTGATAGGTATAAGGTGAATGATCACTGGACGATTCCACCTGAGGTTGTGGACTGTTCTCCTACAACAAAACATGCGGTTTAATTTCTCACATTTATGCACCAAACCAACACAACCTGCACAAATCATGCAAGTTCAAATCAGATCAGAGATCTGCAGTGCTAATGTAATTAGGGATGCACTGAAATGAAAATTCTGGGCCCAAAAATTCATCATTATTTTAATATATTTTCTAAAATGTTTTATTGCAGAAATTAAAGGCAATACCCACAATACTACCATGTATAAATACTTTAATAGTTTAATTTAAATAGTAATAATTTACTGTTATTGTTATTATTATTATTATTATGCATCACAGTTATGAGGATTTAGGAAGAACATGCTTAATTGTCATGAAAATAACCTCACAGTATAAAAAAAAAAATCAATAAAACAGGTTTTATTTTCTTCTAAAATCTTCTATTTTATTTCTTTTGTTTGATTTTTTGTTGTGAAATGTTCCCTGGACATGTTCTTCACAGGTTTTTGTGCGATTTACTCGAGAACATTTCAGCACAGCTGCAAGCCCAGTCTGTTCCTGAACTTTTCTCCATTTATGGTGATCGTGAATTCAGGAAGTTCTTCAGTGCAGGATGAGGTTCAATCTGTGTCTGGGAAAGTGTTTTTCGTCATGAACCCACCTCTACTGAGACGGTGGTGGTCTGCATGTGAGTGTATGGAGGGATATAGGGCCCCTGGAGAGCTGGACTCGCTGGCATAAACTACAGAGAGAGAGATGAGAGAGATTCACATGAACACACCAACATATGCTGCTACAGAACAAATCTGCACACATTGTGTTTCGTGCTCTCATTCCGTCAGCAGTTTTTTATTTGGTTGCTTTTGTGCATTTCTGCTGAGTTGTGCATGAGTCATGTGTTGCCTGCATGTGTTTAAATATACATTTTTGCAGCGTTTGCCCAGTATATGCAGAATCAGTGATCATAATGCAATATATATATATATATATTATTGCACTAAAATTTCCAACATAAAACTTTAACTTTTCATTATGTACAGAAAATGTTATTCCATGTTATGTTTTAATAGCAACTTGATTATTCACCAGTAGGTGGCGAAGCATTCAAGATCAGTCATGCAGCTTACTCTAAATAGAATACTAACACTCTATTTCGGCAGTATATAGTATGCATACTGTGCACAGCATGCAAATTTGTATGCATGCATATCCGGACCCAATGCATTTGCCAAAATGTGCAGTATACACTGCATAAAAAATTATCCCATAATGAAATGCACTCACTTGACTCAACGCACTTGACCTTTTAAAATGTAATGACAAAAATAATATCACGTGTATTTTAATAATTCTATTTCGATTCATTATTTGGGATGCCAAAATATTAGGAAATTAGGAACGTTTAACTAAAATGCAAAATAACTTTTTATTTAACTGCCATTCACATGCAATGTTATGAGGTCATGTGACAGCAATTTAATATAACTTATGTTTGATATAATTATAATTTCATAGTGCATACTGTTTCGCAGTAGTAGGCGGTATGCAGTGTATACTGCAGTATGCAAACGCTATTGCATTCTGTCTGCGTTCACAGACTTCCAACAGCTGGAAATGATTTTGCGGATTTTATAGAAACAAAACAACACATATGTAAGCGCTCAAGTGTTGATTGTGCTCACCGTTCCTGCGCTGCCCAGAGAGAGGTGACTCATCTGCTGAGTGAGAGGACCCAACATGGACGCGGGCTGCAGAGACATGGAGTGATCTATAGAGGGCGATATCACTGCTCCCTATGACACAACGGGACAGTTACAGTACATTTACTCATTTAGGAAGTAAAAGCAAGAAAGGCACATACTGTATATACATTTCCTTTAATTACTGGTTCATAAACGATGTGCATGCATTTTCCACGGATATTATTGTTAGCTAAAATAGCTAAATTCACTGTCGTTAACTGAAATAAAGCTGAATTAAAATATTTGATTTTTTAAAATTAGATTAAAAATGTAAACTTAAACTTCATTGAAAATGAAAAATGTCGCCTTGGCAAGTAACAGAAATAAAATACAATAAAATAAAATATTTGGCTATTTTACTCAATATGCATTTTCAAGTATTTGCAGTATGAATTTGCTGGTGCTCTTTCCAGTATTATTGTTAAATGAAACTAAACCTGTTGTTGTTCTTTGAAATAAAGCTGAAATAAAATACAATTGAAATAGCAGATGAAAAACCTAAACTTAAAAAATCAACTAACTGAAATATAAAATAAAAAAGTATTAATTTTTATAAATAATGATTGACTATTTTACTCTATATGTGTACTATGTATTTATAAGCATAAGCAGTATTAATTTGCTGCTCTTTCAGTGTTGTTATTGCTAACTAAATCTATTAAAATTTGCTGTCGTCAATTGAAATTAATCTGAAATAAAATCTAAATATTAGATGAAAAACCTAAAATTAAAAAAAAAAAAAAAAAGAAAATGAGATGTTGACTTGGCAAGTAACTGAAATAATAAAATATAATAAAAATGTAAACAAATTAAAAAATGATGCTGTGGCAATTAACTGAAAATAAATAAATAAAATACAATAAAATAAAGGACAAACTCCTTATGTAGCCCACTTGTCAGGACACTTTCTGGTGATTGGAGCACCCTAGGTCTCTCTGGGATGTGCGTGCTGAGTCCTGGTTTCTTATTCTGTGAGTCAGACTCCGTAAATCTCTGAGCTATCAGCGTCATTACTGGCCTTTAAATCCACAGTTTCCTCATTTATGATCGACGACGCTCAGCTCTATACGTACTGACTCACACCAGTCATTATATACACATTACTTACACACACCCACACAAAAACAAACACACAGAGTCTCATTTAGACAGTGGCAGAGTCATTCATGCAGCTTCACTTATTACCATCACTGATCTCACACACACACACACACACACACACTTCAGCCACACTGTAATCCAGCATCTGGGTGTGTTTCAGTGTTAGTGCACGTATGCAAACACACACTCACACCAGTGTTTCCTGCACAACAGTGATGGCCACTGCTGCTCTTCAGAAGTAGGAAACACACGTCACTTATCAAGGATTTGCTACAAGCAATGTTGCTTCTAAAAGCAGCTTCACAAACTATTAAATTACTGAATGAAATAACTGACTAAAATCAAGGTGTCTGTACTTTGTAGCAATGCTATTTTAGTATCATTGATATACTATGATAGTTTTTGTTAATATTTTGAGTTGTATTTTATTTTTATATTTTCTGATTTCACTTTAATTTTAGTTAAAGTTTTAGTAATTTTGTTGTGTATTTCTGTCATTTTTATTAGTTTTTTTAAAATATGTCTATATAGTTTTTATTAATTTATCTTTATTTGTTTTAGTTTTTACTTAGCTTTACTTATTTTAGTATTTGAAGATAAACTAAACAAAAATGAGACTGGAGTTTTTAATATCTTATTTGATTACAGTTCAAATTTTTATTTTATTTCAAGTAACAAAATAGTTTTTTTGTGGTTTAAGTTTTAGTTAGCTACATAATACATATGACAATAATACAAAAATTTAAAATAAAAATAAATAAAATAATAAATAATTTGTTCACAGTAATGTTAACAAATGAAATTTTTTTTAAGGTTACAGAAACTTAATTTTGTCTCATTTCTAACTGGTTGTTCATATGACAGCCTATAGTTAAAGACACATAAACGAGTTTTGTTATTATAAATGGTATTTTTATCAAATAACATAATTAAATTAAATTTTATATTATAAATAAAACAAAATAAAAATAATAAAACAAAATAAAACATGAAATGAAAAATAAAATAAAAATAATAAAACAAAATAAAATAATAACAAAAAATTATAGTTATTAGTATAGCCAGTTATTACATTACTACTATAATAAAAATGATACAACAAAATAAAATATAAGATATAAAAACTAAATTAAAAAACTAAATAAATAAAATACAATAAAATAATTATTATAGTAATTGGTATAGCCAGTTATTATATTAATACTGGTGTGTATAAATAGAAATGAACATTTCTTAATAAATGGAAACTTCAGACTCTTCATTCTGTTTGGATGCAAACCTTTGCAGATTCTTTGATACTGTGCCCACCTATCAGCTTAATAACTATATTATTTGGCACAAGTTTGTTCATTCTGATTACTCATAAACTGCTTTGGTTTCTGCTTTAGTATGTTTGTTTGGACTCTCTGTCCCTGTCGCCCACACTCTCAGCCTATGAGCAGTCATGATGCAGTTCAAGTGTATTTCTCCCACACAAACAAACAAGCACTGCTCAGGACAATCAGAGACGGCCAGTGCTGAGACTCACCGGATGCTGCATGATGTAGGGCTGATGGGTGACCCAGGATGGATTCTGTACCTGAATAATAAAATACAGATTATCAGCGTCCCTTAAGACAGTTCTGATGCATCCATCTCTGAGACCTCGATCGGTCTGTAAGCAGTAAAGTTTGATCTGAACTACACATTATGTTACCTGGTATGTGGACATAGGTGAGATGTATGGAGAAATGGGGGTCTGTGTGATCATTCTGTTTGTAATACTGTAGGCAGTCGGATAGAATCTGTAGAAAGATAAAAACGGCATATTTAAGCAATATGCTCAACAAAAAAAAAATGTATGAGAGGCTGTGCAATACTATGAATATTATTATTCATATGAAATGAACGTTAAACTTTGAAAAACTTGGTACCTTGACGGCTAACTGAAAAAAAAAAAAAATAATAATAATAAAAAAAATAAAATAAAAAAAATAAATAAATAAATAAAATCCCTTACTGAAAAAAAATACCCTTAAATAAAAAAAACTGAGTTGGAAAAATGAAAAGAAAAACCTAAACTTAAAAAAAAAAAATTACATTTAGAAAGGTTGCCTTGGCAATTAACTGAAAAATAAAATAAAATAAAATAAAATAAAATAAAATAAAAGAGTTTCTAAGAGCTGGAAACATACAATTTAATGACTGGATGTTCCCAAAATAAAACTACTAAAACTAATAAAATTACTAAAATTAAACTACATTTAAAATTTAACTAAACTACTAAAATTAAAATAAAGCTGAATTAAAATAATCAAACAAAAAATTTTAACCTAAAAAACGTAAGCCAAAATTTGAAATGCAGAAGTACTAAAATTACTAAACCAGAAGTAAAATGCATTAAAGTTAAATAGAAATAACAAATACTACTAATAAAAATTACAAAAAGCACATAACAATTACTAAAACGTGAACTAAAATGAAAATGAAAAGAGAAACTATAAAAAATAAAAGTTTTCAAAATACTAATTAATACTATACTACAATAACACTGGCTCTTTCTCAGGACTCTTGTTGTTTCGTACCCATTTTGCATAGCAGCTGTGGTTGGGTCGTATGTGAGTGTCATGCCAGCCTATGAGACAGAAAGAGAGAGAAATAAAACATAATTCTCACACCATTCAGCTCATAGCCGCTTTTGAAGTGTTGAAAATGAAGTCAAAAGTGTTGTGCCACTTATAGCTTGTGAATCATGTGAACCTGGGAAGAAATTATTTCATACATCCACTAAAAGACACTGAGCAAAAATGACGAAGAAAAGTGTTAGTTAAAAAGTAAGTGAAGAGAAAAGCTCCTGCAGCATTTCAACACAGATACAGACTTGCTTTGATATTTTGTTAGCGAAGGCAATGAAGCTATATCATTAAGTGTGGCGTAAGTGTCTTTTTGGGGCTACCGTACTTGTCAAATTAGGCCTGGGCGATAAAACGGTATCGATATTTATCGACGGTACACCTTCTTCGATAACGATAGAAAAAATGTTCGATATAGCGCACTATATAGGCACGTGCTATTAGTGACGCAGACAGCACACACAAACACGAACACATGCTGAAATGAGTGCTGTGCCTGCCTGTGATGAGGATGCATTTGAATGTTAGGTGTGCGTCAGGGAGAGTCATCAGTGGCGCGCGAGATGCCGTGATGATGTAAGTTACGTTGTTGCATTTTAATGTTTTGTTAGTCTAGCCCACGAGATGCGCCGCTGCTGCGTTATTCATTCAAAATATTAGAGAAATATAGAAGCTCAATGCGGAGAAGATCTTGATTAGGTTAAAACCAAAGCCAAGCCATTTACAGAGAACGCATATTCAGCACATTTTTTTAGACGGACAAATATGATTGCTGCACTCACGTCTCACAAGAGATGTATAGAAAGCCATGCAAAGTTAAAACAGTTTAAACTTTTAGAAAACACGTCACAAATTTGAGGAGGTTTATTCCTTTTCACTGCGTCTCATATGTTTTTAAATGCAGTCTGTGTGAATGGCGCTTCAGCTCTTTGTATTAAGCAATGCATAACTACGTGATGCTGTTTTGTTCATACTTGTTTACATTGTATCGTTGATACATTTTTTAGCTATATCGCCCAGCCCTATGTCAAATAACATAAAACTGAAAACAAATGACACTACTGCCCTCCCCTCGAGCTTGTAGCCAAATAGTTCATGTTGTCACAGTCATATCAACATGTGGAAAAGCTTTTAAGATGTTTCTTCTCACTGTGGACAGAATCTGACACTGTCCAAGTCGAGTGCTGCGGCATGCATGGATAAAACCTGTGAAACTGCATTAGGTTTAATGAAATGATCTGGTGTGACAGAAAACCCAGCGTGCTGTAATTACATGCCATCCACGACCTTCTCCGTACATGGCTTGCACATGATAAGGAGAAAAAATGAAAACGTTCAAAGTAATTTTCATTAGAAAAACCACAGTATCGACTCAATTAAGTGATGTGATGTGATACATTTCCCTACTGATTTTCTTTTTATGAATGGTCATGTGACACTGTGAACACTGAACACAGGAGCGTGACTCGCTCTGCTCCAAAACCTAGTGAGCTGACTATACAGGCAGTATTTTAAGGGAAAATTTGTGTGAAATCACATGGAGGTTGATTATAAATATGAATAATTAAATCCCAAAGAGTAGTGATCCATATACATACATACATTTTAATTTAATTTTTTTAATTTAATTTTATTTTGATCACTGCTCTTTGGGACTAGTTAATGACAAAATCACTTCAAGATAGCGGACAAAGCAAAATAAATGTTGATTATAAATATGAATAATTAAATCCTGAAGTGAATAAAATAAAATAAAATAAAATAAAAAATAAAATAGAAAAAAATAATAATAAAAAAAAGTTTATTATAGTAATACTGGTGTGCAGAAATGAAAGACATTTCAGACACAGAATGCATTGCAACAAAATCACTTAAAGATGGCAGACAAAGAAAAAGATATGTTGATTATAAATATAATAAATTCTGAATAGTACTGATCAGAATAAAAAAATAAAATAAATAAAATAAAATAAAATAAAACAATACAATAATAAAAATAAGTTATTACATTATTGTGCACTGGTGTGCAGAAATGAAAGAAAGAAACATTTCTTTATAAACAATGCATTGCAACAAAATCACTTAAAGATGGCAGACAAAGCAAAATAAATGCTGATTATAAATATGATGAATTAAATCCTGAAGAGTACTGATCAAAATAAAATGAAATAAAATGAAAAATATATAGAAAATAAGAATAAAATAATGAAAAACAATAATAAAATAAAATAAAAAAATAGGTTATTAATACTGGTCAAATCACTTTCCAAATGTCAGACAAAGCTAAATAAATGTTTATTATAAATATGATTAAATCCTGAAGTACTGATAAAAAAATATAAAAATAAAATAAAATAAATAAATAAAATAAAAAATAGGTTAATACTGGTCAAATCACTTCAAGATGTCAAACAAAGCTAAATAAATGTTTATTATAAATATGATTAAATCCTGAATTACTGATCAAAATAAAAAAAAAAAATAAATAAAACAATAAAATAAAATAAAAAATAGGTTATTATATTAATACTGGTCAAATCACTCAAATCAAGACGTCAGACAAGTAAAAGAAACGTTGATTAGAAATACAATTAATTCAATCCCAAAGAGTAGTGATCAAAAAACAGATTTACAAAATATCGGCGTGCTATGGTTTTTAATACCAATTAGAGTATCACACCACTAATAAAGTCTCCCGTCACAAATCAGTCACTTATGAGGGTACATTTCAGTTCACTAGGTTTTGGAACAGCGCGAGTGTCATGATGGGAAATGACAGGTGACTAAGCAGTTTACACACACACACACTTCTCAGTATCACTTCTGTGGTTCACGTAATATATGACTGTACTGGTGTAGCTTGTATAAACACACACACACCCACACATCCCTGCTGTTCATGTGTTCACTAACAAGCTGCTGCAGGTGATATATGTCCGCAAAAAGCGATCCGGACACACAACATGGTGGTGAGAGCAAAAGAGCAGTACTCACAAGTCTGGTCTCCCCATCTCTGGCCCAGGCTCGTCCGTTCTGCGCATATTTATTTAGACTCTGACGCTTCTTCTGGCCTCCGTCTGCAAACTTGCACAGCAAGGGTTCTGACGGCGCTGCAGACACACACATGAACTCTCAGCGTGATGTTGACTGCTCGCTCAACGCTTTAACCAAAGCCATCATAGTGTGACAGTAGAAAAAACTGGAGATCAACTGCTTTACGCTACTCAGTGCTTTACGCATAGAGTGACATTTTAGCAACCTCTGAAACGACTTTCCTTTTGGATGACATCACAAATGCCTCATATTTTTAGCCCCTCCCCCTCTGATTCCGTTCTGGTATTGTATATAAAACCCACTTTTCACAATCCGATCAATTCCTGATAGAGAGGCAGGCACAAATATATCAGCACCATATCAGGTGAATATGGCCATTGTTTGATTTAATTTGTTTCTGCCTATTTCAAGATTTAAGATTCATTATCTAGCACTAACTTAAAATGATAACGACAGATAAAGATTGAACCCTTTAGGAGTTAAATCTTTTGAAGATTTTAGTGTAACATTACTCTGCTCTTAAAAGGAAGTTATGAGATTAAAAAGCCGCAATTATGAGATAAATTGTAATTATGACACAATGTCAATTTTTTTTGTTATAATTATGATTTTTTTTGGACAATTTTGACTTTTTATCTCAGAACTATGACTAAGAATGTCATAATTCTCATAATTACGACTGTCATAATTTTGACTTTTTGACAATTATGACTTGTTTTATCTCATAACTATGACTGAGAATGCCATATTGTTGACATTTTATCTCATAATTATGACCTTTTATCTCATAATTTCAATTTTTTATGAATTACGAAAATTATGATTTTTTTTTCTTGTGTGGTGGAAACTTCAAATTAATTTTAAGTTGTTTTTATTTGGTTTTAATTTTAATTTAGACTTATAAATATCTGCCATTTATTGGTTTTCAGCCATAACATTTACTGTCCTAATTTGGACTTTTTATCTCATAATTTCAACTTTATGTCCGAAGTATGTCATAATTCAACTTTTTATTGATCAAAGTAGGTTTTTTCATACGTGTTGGAAACTTCAAAATAATTGTTATTTATTTTTATGTTTTATTAAGTTATGTGTCTTTTTTTTTTTTTTTTTTTTTTTTTACAAATCAAGATATTGGTCATCAGCCATAACATTATGACTTATTATTTTTTATTTTTTTTACATTTTATCTCATAATTATGACTTTTTATGTTATAATTATGACACTTTATTTCATAATTATGACTTATTAAAGTATTTTTTTCTTATGTGGCAGAAATGGGTTTTCATAACTTAAAGAAATTTTTATTCTGTTTTATTAAGTTTCATTTTATGTTTCTTTTTCAAGATAGATTTGCAATATCTACTAATTACTGGCTTTCGGCCATAACATTTAAATAATTACAGCATCAGCCACAATTTCAGAATTGGTGCATCCCTAATTCCTGTTGCATAAAACCCTGTATTTTTCCACACTGAATATCAATGTTGCATAAAGAAACATCCAATTATGGCGGTAAAATGGGATGCAAACATCAACTTCTAATGCTGCAAACTGCAATGTTGCTTTGCTGTAAGTTATATATTTATTATGTTATATATTTTCAACTTTTATCTCTGTTTCTTTGTTGCACATGCAAATAACTGTCGTGTGACTCTATGTAACGCAGAATAAACGGTACAGCAAAATCTCCACCAGTTACATGCCGTCATCTCAAGGCCCTCTGAGGCTTCCTGGCTCCATCCGCAATGGTTTTCCCACAATGCTTAGAGAACAGGCATCTAATTTGGAAGCTGTCTTCATATAATCCCCTTCCTTCCTTTCTGACATGGTCAGTGGAGACTATTTCAGTCTAATAATCCAATTAAAATGCTTCGAGAGGCCACGCCAGGCCAGTAAGAGAAAATTAGCACACATTGCTTTCACTTGAGCCCCAAACGAGCCTCCACTAATCAATAAGCTGCATCATGCCCATGTAGCTCCTCCCAGCTCTGTAATTTCAGCATTTCGTGCAGCGAGTCTAAATCTACATTCGTGCGAAAGCTGTTTGGTATGGCTGAACGGTTGCGCCACATGCCCGAAAGCCTGTTTCCATTTAGACCCCATCCGAGGAGAATCATTACCAGAGAATGAATTAATGTGCTCGAACACAGCAGCGTTGTGTCTTTATGCACAAACAAAACACACATTATAGTAGTGGTTCACCCAAACATGACAATTCAATCATTTACTCCTATTGCATGCAGAAAAGTGGCAAGGATATCCTTCAGAAATATACCCTTCTCCTTTTGTGGAGGAAAGAAAAGTCATGCCGGTTTGGAAACAACATGAGGGCGAGTGAACGCTGACATATTTTACTTTTTTTTTTTTCATGAACAACTGCATTAAAGTAAATGCGAAGCATGCAGATGCACACTTACCCATAACTCCAGCTGGTGTTTTGAGAAATTTCCCATTGAAGTGAGAGATGACAGTTTCACATTTCTCCGTCGACTCCATCCTAGAGAAACACATTACCGGTTTAAAGGTTTACACATTTCACTCTCGGTTTGAATATAAAACCTTCACCAGCTGTAAATGTTGAGAAACATGTTAAAGTCATATGAAGAATAGCCAGGGGATTTTGCATTACTAAACTAAAGCATAATGCACTCGTCTTAATGCATTACCTTATAGTTTCATGATCCTTTTTGTTCTTTTCCTGACATTTAAACTTCAGTTAGAGTTGGCAAGTTTGATTCATTTTAGCGAATCAGTTCAAAACTCTGATTTAATGATTAATATGTGGCATCACTCAAAAATGTCTCTGCAAGGCATTTTTACGAATTAAAAAGTTTAGCAAAAATGTATGTAGTTAAATATTGCTGTTCATTTCTATATTTTGTTATATCCGTGCATATAAATCTTGCTTCAGTTCATTTAGAGTGGAAAACATGCTGGGATTATTTTAACTGCAAACAAATACATTGTAATCGGTTTCAAAATAAATACAGAAATTTGTACAAACTGAGATTTTCATAAATGTTTAGGTATGCCGAGCTTTGAAACCCATATCAACAAAAGTTTTGCTAATATATTTTGTTTATCATTTAAAATATGTCATTATTTATATTTATATCATTATTATTTGAAAACCTACTTCTGATTAAATAAACCAGTTCAGTTTTCTTTAAGGGGGTTTTCACTCAAATGAGCAGGAATAACCCTTAGGTTAGTACAATCAAGTCATCAAAAGAGGGTAGAAATTGACATTTTTGTGAATGTTTAGATATGCAGAGCTATGAAAATCTCGTTTTGACATGTTTTGCCAATGCATTCTGTGTTTATCAGTAAAACTCATTTCATAATTTATACTTATATCATTGATATCTGAAAGCATACTCGAAACTCATTCATCTGATTAGATAAACCAGGTCAGGGGTTTTTCACTCAAGTGCGTGAGAATAACACTTCGTACAATCAAGTTTTTACTTGTCATAAATTTACAAAGAGAAGTTCAGGGAGTTCAGTTTTCTGGCTTTGCCGTGCTGATATGTCAGATGCACAGCTATGTTTTCAAGGAACTGACTGGCACTAAGGATCATGGGAGGGTCTGAAGTGTTTGTGTTGCGGCGGGCACAACGCCAGGGGCTTTCCAGGACGCATGATTCCCTGACCGACGCTGCAGACTTGAACCATGGTTGGTACATTGAAGGGGATTTCACAAAGAACGATAGCGTGACAACAGGAGTTGACCTGGTGATTCGGGGTCAGATACAAGACCCTCACCTTGCAAATCCGACCCCTCGGCTGCCGCCGTTGGTGTCCCGCAGGACGCGTGTGGAGACGACCTGTCCGAAGGGCTTCAGCATGGCCTCTAACTCCTGTTCATCCATGTTCAGCGGCAGGTTAGATATGTACAGGTTAGTGGGGTCCTGCTCTTGTTGCTGTCGGGAGAGAAAAAGAAAAAAAAACGGTGAAACTTTTGCCATTTTATTTGGTTTCCTGATGAAAAAGTCACTGATTAATAGAACCAAAATGAGCTTAACTCATATTGAACCTGGAACATTTGTGTAAAGAAGAATAATTACTGTTATTTTTAGCATAAGTAGATTACACACACCTGTAAAAACACCTCAGATCTTATCGTTCAGTTCATTCACACACTGCCGGAGCTCCGTCACAGTTTATACACACTTAATCAGTTAACGGAAGAACACCTGGAGATCTGACAACAGAAATCACTGGCCATTCACATCTGCCAGTGTGCTGCATGCATGAATGCCTTCTTACATGTCCCAACAGAATTTGATGTTTAATATTCAGTTTTGCGGAACTAGATTTTGTACCAATTGGATTTGACTGTGGGCGGAGCTACCCAGTGCAACATAGGACAAATAGAATCCAAGTAGCTCAAAAAATTCCCTGTCCTAATAATTTATAATAGAGTATAATAGGCATTTTAGACAATTTAGGCATTTTTTAATTAGACATTTTTATACACATATGTATATAAATGCTTCATATCTTGGGGAATCTTTTTCATTGAGCACATTAATATAATCAGCACATTAGCATAACAAGCACAAATATTAATCATATATAAATACTAAGTATTTAATATATATTTAATATATAATAGTCTAAAATAAAATTTAAAAAAAAATATTACACATTATTAGGCTTAACATCTGCAAAATACAGAACTAAATGTATGTATGAATGTGTGTGTGTGAATATATATATATATATATATATAGTGTCTGAATAAATTTTGGTTTGCCTATGTATATATATATATATATATATATATACACACACACAGATATATATACTCTATGTGTATATATAAGTGTATGTATGTATAATTAAAAATATTCAATATTGTAAAATTACAATATTCTATCTTTGGGAAACTTTTTCACTAGGTTTGTCTAATGCATTATGGGATACCTGCAATGATGTCTACCTTTTGAAACAGGCTTTTTGTCAATGCGTTAAAATACTTTTAGTAGAACTTTGAATGAAGACAATATCTAAATACTTACATGTAACAGGTGAATTAAATTCATAAAAGAGGTTAAAGTGAAAACATGTCTCCCTCTCCTGACTCTCCAGCTAATAAAGGGTGAGCATTAATATTGATGAGCGGCTCATTTGCATGCGGCTCTCGGTCACCCCCAATCCAAGCGGAGAAACCTCGACTGATCTCCTGCCGTAGTTTCCCTTCCATCAGCAGAAACGGAAAGCGAAACAGGCAGAGAGCGAGGGAGAGACTCTCCCCGGGGACAAAAGGGCTGCTACATTAATATTCATTAACATCCTACTGCGTTCAATCTCCACCCCTAAGAGATGGAGGAAAAATGAGCAGAACAAAGAGAAGACAAGGGAGAGGCGGGATTGGATTACTAAAGTAAAGCGCTGACAGAAAAAAATCAGCATAGCGCCATTAGGGAACAATGGCAGAGGGCCGGTGCTCAGCTGTGGAACCCAGAGAACGCTGCTCCATCACGGGGAACGGACGCAAGAGCAAACAGGCATTGGAGATCCTAAAGGGTCATCATAGTCAACACTATGTTTTAAAAAAATATTAGCTATTGACAGTGCTATGCAGTGTTCATTTCGTTGACGAATAATTTTCGTCAACGGCATTTTTTTCACCGACGACAACGAGACGATAACGAACTAAAACTCTTTTTGAATGACAAAAACTATGACGAAAATGTATTGACATTTTCGTCAACTAATAAATACGAGACGAAAATGTTAGGGAGGGACGATTTGGGAAGAGATTCATTCAGAACGAATCTGCTGCGTGGTTCGGAGGCTAGATGCGTACATATGAACCGACAGGACATAAGCTAAAATACACTTACGTCTCATAAAATGTTCAAAAATGCCAATATGTGGGAGTAAGAGAACAGCAGACATATAGATAAATCTGACGACGCAAGAGAGAACTCAGTTCGGTCCGGTTTTCTGAGCGCAGACACTGAAGCATACACACACAGAAAGCGCGTCTCTCACCGCGCGAGTACTCTTTCGTGTCGCATGAACGGAGAATCACACACAAAATGATGTCGAATTGTCTGTTTTGACGAGTATTCACGTAAACACAGTTGATTAC